ATTGTCCCCCCCCCCCCCCTCTCCGTTCACACTTCCTTCCGTCTGTTCAGGTTCTTTCGTTGTTTTTCTGATGCTGATGATTCACATACATATATGTATGCATTGTTCTTACCTGCTGAGCTTGCCCCCCACTGAATAGATGTAGTATTATCACCTTTTTTGTTTCGCTCTTTTTCACCTTCTTTCACTTTTATTTGTCCATAATTATAAGATTAGTTCAAGTAGTTCCCATTCCATTGTTACGTAGATTCACTGATGATTGTAACAAGAAAACAGTTCTGAACGAATCCTCGCTTTCCCTTCCTTGTGTGCCTTGCGATAATCGTACAACATTTTACACATACATGCCGACATTATATGAAATGCTTTCTCTGCAATTAGTTGTCTTTGTAGCTATATTAAAACTGCTGTCTCCAAAACGCTTGTTCACTTATTTTATTATATTTAAGGATTTCCAAAAGACTTTGGGCCTGTCGAGGGGATCTCCTGCAAGAAGAGTCAAATGACAATGTTCTGGAATATTCCCAGCTTGTGGTGAATCTTGCATGACCTTTCATTGTACTCAGGTTTCATTCCTTTTATTCTAGTGCATGCTGCTGGCGCCTGATGTATTGACTATTGTTACCGCAGGCCAGTCTCAACCTTTGCATTGTCTGAGATTCAAGTAGCGTATCGTTTGATGCATGTGCTGTCTCCATGCTATCTAGTCGTAATATATTCACTCGTCTTTGCATTTGTGCACAGTCCTGTGGATACTCGCAGGCTGCGATTGCGCTCTCGCTTTCGTCATTCTAGAATGTATACTTCCATGCCTTTGAAGTTTTTGTAGTTGTCAGTTTTGAACTGTAGGAATCAGTTTACAGTTTTTGTTCTTGCAGTTTTATCTCAGAGGAGAAAGTTCTTGGTCTCATACTGTTACGAGTTGCTGTTGTATCTGGTTGAACGCATGCCGGGGCAACAGAGGGCAGCATGAGTAGCCATAGTGGTCCTTCGAGCCGGATGAGATAGCCAAAGACGGCAACGACCAGTGGTACCTACCCCATTTCCCGGTAGTACGCTCAGATAAATCCACGTCAAAAGTGAGAATAGTATTTGACGGTGCAGCCCGCTGGGATGGACACACCATCAACGATGAGATGTTTACAGGTCCTGCACTTCAAAACGACATGACCAGTGTGTTGATCCGATTCTCACTGGAACCAGTTGCGCTTGTTGGTGATGTGTCGGAGATGTTCCTCCAAGTCAAACTGGCGGAACATGACCAGCGCTATCATCGCTTTCTGTGGTATGATGACAATGGCCAAGTGCAGGTGTATCAGTTCACCCGTGTGCTCTTCGGCGCTAAGGCATCACCGTATCTGGCAGGACGAGCGGTGAAAGAGGTCATCAACCACCACGGTGATGAGTACGACTCTGACGTCGTGCAGTGCCTAAGCAAAGACCTCTACGTTGACGACATGCTGTCATCACTACCATCCACACAGCGTGCCATTCAGGCCAGAGAGCAAACGCAGCAGCTACTTGCCAAGGGCGGTTTTCACATGCGAAAATGGCTGTCGAACAAAGCTGAAGTGATGAACACCATACCAGAGGAAGATAGGTCACCTGATGTCGTCCGAGATGTGGACAGTGACACCAGCCTCCCAACTGTCAAGACTCTCGGCGTCAGTTGGAACGCCGAGAAGGATGCCTTCACCTTCCAGCATCAAATGAAGGACATCACGACATTCACCCGACGCTCTGTGTTGCGCGGCCTGGCCTCCATATTCGATCCGCGTGGCCTGATCTCGCCATACGTCATCACGGCTAAGGTACTCCTGCAGGATGCCTGGTTGCAGGTACAGGGATGGGACGACCTGCTGCCAAAGGAACAAGTCGTCAAGTGGCAGGGTTGGTTCCAAGGCCTCCCAGACCTGAGTAACCTGGAGATCAGCCGCTGTTTCAAGGATCCACAACAGCCATCCGAAAACGCCAGTCTTTCCGTGCACTGCTTCTCCGATGCCTCAGATCGGGCGATAGCAGCCGCTGTGTATGTCAGAGCCAGCTACCCAGACGGTACCACCCGAATAACGCTAGCGATGTCGAAAGCGAAGCCGGCACCAGTGAGGCGACAGACGATCCCGCAGCTTGAACTGAGAGCAGCTGTGCTTGGCGTTCGCGTTAGTCATCTCGTCGCTGAATCCATCGGTATCCCAGTGTCAGCTCACACATTTTGGACGGACTCGATGAACGTCTTGGGCTGGGTCCAAAGCCACAGCCTGCGCTACAAAGTGGACATTGGCAACCGAATCTCTGAGCTCCAGACCTCAACGAGAGCACACCAGTGGCGACATGTTCCCGGAAAGAACAACCCTGCAGACAAAGGTACTCGTGGTTTGTCTGCTGCATTACTGTGCCGTGACGCAGTGTGGTGGTCCGGTCCACAGTTTCTTCGCCAGCAGCCAGATGAGTGGCCTCAGATGAAGGAAGTCAGCACATCCTCGCTGCCTGGTCAGCTCAAGACGGCGCTAGTTGCAGTCGTCCCTCCACCCTCCGAGATCCTGGGTCGCTTTAGCACATGGTCGCGACTGGTACGCGTGACAGCATGGTGCAAGCGATTTGTGGCAAACTGTCAGCAGGCAGTCAGTGACAGCAAGTCCACGAAGGGGGATGCCGCATCGGACAGCCAGTCCAGCACGCCAGTGAGAGTGCCAGTACAGCTTGGCGGCACCCGCTCCATCAGTGTTCCAGTTCTCAGCACTGACGAAGTATCAGTAGCAGAGCGGCACTGGATTGCAACTGCCCAGAAGGATTGCCATGGTACAGCATACCATCGTCTACAGTCTAGGCAACCGATGTTGAAATCGGACCCTCTGGCACCTCTCTGTCCCCAGTTCGATAGTGCAACAGAGTCACCCCTGATGACGGTAGGAGGTCGATTGCAAGCTACAAAGAACATGCCAAGTGGCGTACGCCACCCAGTCATCCTACCAGCAAAGCACCGAGTAACCCAGCTGATAATCGAACAGGAAGATCATCGGTGCTTCCATGCAGTTGGGCCACAGCATCTTCTGGCCAATCTGCGACAACGCTACTGGATTGTTCACGGAACATCAACAGTCAAGGCCGTTCGAAGCAACTGCGTCACTTGCCGTAAGAACCGTGCGGAGCCAGCGTCCCAGATGATGGGCCAGATTCCAGACTTCCGAGTTGCAGGCTCGTTGAAACCGTTCAGCCGTACAGGAGTTGATTACGCGGGTCCCTTCCTGACCAAGCAGGGCCGAGGTAAGACGCAGGCTAAGCGGTACCTGTGCCTGTTCACTTGCCTTGAGACTCGTGCCTGTCACCTAGAGGTATCCTATGGCCTCTCCACTGAGTCATTCCTGTTAGCATTTGAGAGATTCACAAAGCGCCGTGGTGTCCCGCTTGAAATGGTCAGCGACAACGGGACCAACTTCACTGCCGCGGAGCAAGAACTCCGTGAGGCCGTCCGGGCCATGGACAAGGAGAAGATCGAGAAGCGACTGGTCAGTGATGGCGTGCGATGGCGCTTCAACCCACCTAGAGCACCACATTTCGGCGGCGTATTCGAATCCCTCATCAAGACGGCTAAGCGCGGACTCACAGCAGTACTAGGGAAAGCGGACGTCACAGATGAAGAGTTAGTGACTGCCATGTGCCAGGTTGAGGGCATGATGAACTCGCGCCCGCTGACAGTTGTAAGTGCCGATGCAGCTGATTTGCAGCCTCTAACACCAGCACATTTCCTCGTCGGACGACTCGACCCACCAATGGCTCTGGAAGTGAAAGCAGACGAGCACCCCAGCAGAGACCCACGCAAACGTTGGTTGTATGTTCAGCGGCTTGTAGCAGACGTGTGGAACAGGTGGCGAGATGAGTATGTTCCCTTGTTGAATGTCCGTCGTAAGTGGCAACGTCAAGGTCGCAATGTAGCCGTAGGTGACATCATGCTGTGTCTTACATCAAACACTCCCCGTGGAACATGGCCCATGGGTAGAGTCACAGCAGTGCATCCTGGTGCAGACAAGCTCGTCCGAGTAGTGGATATTAAGATCGGCGACAAGATCTACCGACGGTCTATCCACCATCTAGTACCTATTCTGGACACCGAGTAGTTTGTGCCTTGTGTATCTGAAGTGCTACAGGCAGCCCTGTGACAGTACTCTCTCTCTCTCTCTCTCTCTCTCTCAACCTATGAAGTTTTTCTTTCATCATACAGTACCGAAGTAGTACTCACTCGTCACAGTTTGTTTGCTGACCCTGTGCTCGTGAGTGAAGGGGGATATGTTCTGGAATATTCCCAGCTTGTGGTGAATCTTGCATGACCTTTCATTGTACTCAGGTTTCATTCCTTTTATTCTAGTGCATGCTGCTGGCGCCTGATGTATTGACTATTGTTACCGCAGGCCAGTCTCAACCTTTGCATTGTCTGAGATTCAAGTAGCGTATCGTTTGATGCATGTGCTGTCTCCATGCTATCTAGTCGTAATATATTCACTCGTCTTTGCATTTGTGCACAGTCCTGTGGATACTCGCAGGCTGCGGTTGCGCTCTCGCTTTCGTCATTCTAGAATGTATACTTCCATGCCTTTGAAGTTTTTTAGTTGTCAGTTTTGAACTGTAGGAATCAGTTTACAGTTTTTGTTCTTGCAGTTTTATCTCAGAGGAGAAAGTTCTTGGTCTCATACTGTTACGAGTTGCTGTTGTATCTGGTTGAACGCATGCCGGGGCAACAGAGGGCAGCATGAGTAGCCAGACAACTTTATGTAGAGGGAGCAGTTAATCGAGGATAGGCTAAGGAAATAGATCAAGGCATACAAAATCTGGTAATTAAGGAGTTGGGATACCGTCAGTGTAATGAACATATCGGCGAAAAATGGCGATAGAGAGAATGCTTGAATTCTGGGAGGCTGGTTATAGAGGTAAGAGAAGGCGGTAGGCAATTTCATAGCATTGCGGCTTTGTTGGAAAAGAGGGAAGAAAAACGCACACCGTGATAATTGATGTTAAGTTTGTTTGGTCTTCTTGGACTTGAAGACAGTTAATGGTGAAGATGTTGGAGGTGTTCTCGAGATATGTTTACGGTATAAGTTTAAATAAAGTAACACTCGTCGGGCTTGGACCATCTCTCCTCAAAGTAAGCAACTATTTTGGGCTCAGTAGTGGACTGAGCCAGGCCTCCGAGGAATGACTTCTTAGTTGTATTGACTACTTGTCTTCGGGGTAGTGCAACGTTAAGCCACCCTTTCTTTTTTCGTTGTTTAACGTCCGCGCCCGCGTACCTTTTTGCCTCTGACCAAAAAAACCCAAGAAAGTAGTAGTACCAATAATATGCGAAGTTGTAAATACATGAGTGTGTAGTTTCACAGTGTGCCGATCATGGCCTTAAACTTATAATCTTGCCTCCCGGGCATGCCTTTGTCTTGTTTTCTTTTTCTTTTTTTGTTGGCTTTTAAATATCGTACGGTGTGTGTCCTAGTAAAAATCCAGATGTAATGAATTCATGACATGCTAACTCCATGCTATGAACCTGTTTTGTTGGATTCATCAGGCATGTGCTCCAATGTACCATCAAAGAGTGTTGTTCTACGCCTGCAAGTGCCGTTAGACCCAGAAATATTATATATATCACATGCTTTACTGGTAAAAATGTTTGATTGGGGTTTCCAGTTTTTGGAATGGGCTTTTTTTTCGCCCTCCTGCGTACCTTTTCGCGAAAAAAAGGACGTTAAACAATGAATTAACAAAGGGTGGCCTTAGGGTCAATCTGTTCCTGGTCTAGCATGTGCCGTTTCTCTTCTTGCACACGATCAACTGAGGCGGGGTCCTTGAAGGTGACTAAACCAAATCCCCTGGACCTTCCAGTAACTGTGTCGGTCATCATAACGCTCTATCTTTCACTTCCCGGTACTTGCTGAAATACGTATTTAGGGCGGGCTGGTCAGTCTGCCAGCTTAGTCGTCCAATGAACATCTTCCCTGGTTCATTTGGCGGATCTCGGGTCTCCGATTCGGTGCTGTCGCTTGCACTTGCTTTGGAATCGGCCTGGTTGCCTACTGTTTCTTCGCTTTGGGCCGCGTCAGTCGATGCGTCTTGGTCGACAGGTTGGCCGCTGGGCTCATAGCTAACTGGAGCTTCATTCACAGCGCTGTTAGATGTTGACATGGTGGCAGGAGAAGATTCAGGAGCAAGTCGGCAGCAGGGGCGAACGAACACCTTCTCCTTGCCGAAGGCTCCCCACGCGTGGGGAAAAACAATGATGAAGGCCTCCATTTACAGCTTCCAAGATCATACGTGTTCTAGACACGGGAATTTACTGGAATATTGGAGACCAGCTTGCTGCACTATACGGCAGAATGGGAGAAAACTGGCATGATGGCATTGCAGCGAACGAACACTTCTCCTTGCCGAAGGCTCTCCACACCAAGCTTGTATTGGGGTGTTCTGCAAATCGAAGTGTGACCGTTTGAGAGCAACGCAAGCCATAGCTACACAGCCAGGCCGAAGACTAGTAAGGAGAGGGTCTGGAGCCTGTCGGGTCCCGCTCGAGGCAGACCAACTCTTCGACAGATAAGAATTGATCATCAGTTAAACGCAATGGCTTTTAAAGGGAAGCTGGTTGCAAAGGCGGCTTGAAAGGTGACATGTGAATGTGTTATGCGCAAGGCGCCAGAGGTCCAGCAGTCCAGGGCCTAGGGTGCGAACAGTAGCACTAGTAGCCTAAGTGCCAAGACCCATGCAGGGAAAGGTGTTATAATACCACCACAGCGCCAAAGACTGAAAGGTGACGGCCACTGACTGCCGAGCTAACTGATGAGCTTTGGTACCAAGAGCGTCTAGCAAACATGAAACTGTGGAGTGTAAGAAGAGGTACTCAGCAGTCTGTAACTCGAAACAGCAAACTGCTTTTTTGCTGCCCTTCTATCTTTACACTGTAATACACAAGCCCAAGCAAGAGTTATGCATACATCACTGCATAGTGCCAGTACTGTGGTATGCCCGCCTGGCTAATACGGAACTTTACCTGACGTATATTTAGTGTATCTCCGTACGTAAGCGTACGGGGTCTGTTCCAGAACCGCACCCTACCACCCACAAAGTGATGGCATGGTTGAAAGATTTAACCGGACACTAGAAGCTATGATTGCAACTTATCAATCTCAGATCACTGAGACTGGGACTTGCATCTCCAACCCACGGTGCTAGCATACCGCACTAGTGTACATGCATCGACTGGCTATTCTCCATTCCGCCTCCAGTTTGGTTATAATCCAGTTCTGCCTCTCGATGTGATGTATGGTTTACCCCGTAACACACCACCGCCATCTTACCCTGAATTCGTCTCTTCTATTCATTCTTCAACTGAGACTGCCTTTGAGCGTGCCCCCCAGCACGGCCTAAAATCACACCAGCACCAGAAGAAGGGTTACGATGGCACATCTGGCCCGCCACGGAAGTTCACGAAGGATCAGCTTGTTCTCCTACATTCACCAGTGGTCCCTCAACATGAGTCCCCCAAGTTTCACCGATTCTGGACAGGACCATATGTCATCCAGAAGGTGATGGATGATGTCACAGTCCGCATTCGTTTGTTGTCGGATCGCCAGAGGCTTTCAATTGTTCACGTAAATCTCCTGAAGCCATATCATCAAGTAACCGACGTAGATCTACGTCCTGCAACACCACCGACGTACGATCCCGAGATACACTCCACCTCTGCACATACACCACTATCTTAACTCCAACCCAAAAAAGGAAAATGCAATCAGAAAATAAAATAAAAGAATTAAGCCAACTAGGGAATACCAAAACAAAGAGCAAATCCGCAAACACCATCCAAGCATCGCTACTACTAGTGCGATGATGTTTCCATTCACCCAAATGCTTAAACCCTTTTTAAAAACGAAAACTAATAAAACAGAACACTCTGAGACAGATGATATTGCTCCACGCCTCTAGATAGCTGTTTCGCTCCCTGTCGGAGCTCATCACCATTTTAGCAGCTTGATATATGTGGAAAGCGCGCACTTGCGCCATTTCTGGTGTATAAGAATGATCATTCCTCCATTATCATCATTATCATCCTCTACTGATGAGCTCCGACAGGGAGCGAAACAGCTGTCTAGAGGCGTGGAGCAATATCATCTCTCAACGGAAGTGCCCTTGCTGGTGTCTGTATGGTTCGGCTGAAGAGCGCGTGGTTGTGATGAGTTGGGAATGCAATAAATTGAAAATATGGTCGAAAGCTCTGTCGCAATATTTAACTCTGAGAGAGAATGAAACTAATGACAAAATTAATGGCAAGTCCATTGATGCTCGTCAGCGCGGAATATGAGCTAACGTACGGCCTCCGTCACGAAGCAATATCAATAAGTAATCTGCCACCGCATCAGAGATAGACTGATTCTCGAGCGCAAGTGGCTCATAATGAGGGGATATGGTATGTCCGAGTACTTATGGTGTAGTTTTGTTGCGAGGGTCTTGAAGAAGATACCACATTGGGGACCACATTGTTCATTGGTGGCAAAAACAAGCGGAGTGAACGATCCTCGATCCACTTGATTGATTCAGTCGGAATACTGACGTTTCTTCTGACGCTCGAGTTGGGATACGGTAACTGCCTCGACACTTCTGGTCCAGACAGCAAAGACCGCCTTCCGTACATCAAAAAGGCGTTTTGCTGCCTGGTCCAGAAGCCACGAGCCCGTATATCCACACGAGCACCGTCAGCTGAGCTTCCCGAGACGGCTTCACCACCCAACGGCATCAGGGGTGGCTCAATCTCGACGTCGCATACAACACTAGCGAGTGCATCCGCCAGTAGGTCCCAAAGTTCATTATGTCTCTGGGTAGGGTTTCTCCCGCTTGGGCACGTGAGGGCGTGATGAACCGACATGTCTTGGCCACAAACACAGGATAATGATACGCCATCAAGCGACAGGCCATACCTCAGGCACAATGCGTCTCGAAAATCGGACTTGTTGAAGATAGTTAAGAGGAATGAAGTACGAGGGAGACGTAACCAGCCACGTTGACACACCGCCGTCACCCACGACATCCACTAGTAGGCGCTGCTCATTCGTCAAAGCGGGCTTGATCTCCTACAATGCAGCATTGTGCTGCGCCTGGCGTTCCCGGCAGGCCTGCGTGGCCAAACCCCTGGCGGCAGCGATGATATCGATTGATTTTTTTGATTGATTGATTTTTATTTCACGGATCCTCCAGAGGCAAATAGATGCCTATCGAAGGGAGTCTCCTAAGTAAGTATGGAAAATGAGAAAGTATGTTCGTAGGGGAGATGAGGTAGAAGATACATTAGAATATAGAGTACAGAAGGAGTAAATTCAGTACTTCGGGTAGTACATTGCATGCTTATCATAATGAGAATTAGAAAACCAGCCGGCAACAGTACCGTCGATAGCATTGCTATACAGGGCTTTTTTTACCGACAAATAAACACAATAGTTTTAAATGCAATAAATCATACACTGGAGAAGAAATCACAAAAAATGCATGTGTAAAATATAGAATTTCAAACCCAAACCAAAAAAACTTCAAATCAATTTTTTTATAATTAAAATAAACTCAATCAATAAACTCAGTTCAAAAGGAGAAAAACAATAACAGAAAAAACCCACTGTACTAAACCACTGTACTAATTAAAAAGATGGGAAACTCTCCAATTTAGAGTCCATCTTCTCCCGGAATGGCTACCCTCTCCCACTGGTACAACGAGTTATGTCTCAGATGACGACGAGCGCAGGTGGTAAGGAGAAGAACTTAAATCGTGCTATTCTACGACTACCATGGCTAGGTGACTCATCCCTTGAAATCAAAAAGAAAGTTCTCAATCTAGTGCAGCGCTTTGTTCCTCTTTGTTCTCCTATATGTTGCTTCACCACCAGGAAATTATTCTAAACGACTAACAAGGATGCCTTGCCGATGACTAATATTAGCAAAGTCATAATTATATCTATTTACCTGTGAGTGTGACCACAGGTATATCAAATCAATTTTTTTATAATTAAAATAAACTCAATCAATAAACTCAGTTCAAAAGGAGAAAAACAATAACAGAAAAAACCCACTGTACTAAACCACTGTACTAATTAAAAAGATGGGAAACTCTCCAATTTAGAGTCCATCTTCTCCCGGAATGGCTACCCTCTCCCACTGGTACAACGAGTTATGTCTCAGATGACGACGAGCGCAGGTGGTAAGGAGAAGAACTTAAATCGTGCTATTCTACGACTACCATGGCTAGGTGACTCATCCCTTGAAATCAAAAAGAAAGTTCTCAATCTAGTGCAGCGCTTTGTTCCTCTTTGTTCTCCTATATGTTGCTTCACCACCAGGAAATTATTCTAAACGACTAACAAGGATGCCTTGCCGATGACTAATATTAGCAAAGTCATAATTATAATTATCTATTTACCTGTGAGTGTGACCACAGGTATATCGGCAAGACAACCCAATGCCTAGGTGATCGCATGTCGCAGCATATTCCGCCAAGACTAGTCATGGCCGCAACACCAGGTGTCGACTACGTCAAACCCAGGAGAGGAAGACCGCCCAAACAGAAGGCACTGGCAACAGCCCTGACAAAGCCAACTATCGCCGCTTCAACCATCATACAGCGTGTCGGCTCCAAGAAGGTGCAGACAACTAGGGGTGTGCGTATAATCCTCGAAAAGGTAGCAGATTCTGCTCGAAAAGCAGTGAAATTGGCAGAACCATACAAACCTTATGGCGGGTAATTGCTCGAATTCTGCTCCATTTCTTTATCCACATACCAAACATGCATGAACCTTACCAGAAAAAGTACCGAATTCTGCCAATTTTTCTGCTGGCATTATCCGCATATGCCTACAGCCAACAACCAGCGCTCGCCGCAGTACTCGGCTACTACAACGTCCGTGATGATTTGTTGGCTTTCACTTGGCGTCTGTCTACTTTTCACCTATCTTTGTCACTACCTCAGTACCATTTGTGACGTATAAACTAGCGCAACCTATTCCTGTGTACCTCTCCTTCTCATTGTGAATGATTTAGCACTTGTGATAGTTGTGTCAGGTAGGGTTCAGAACACCTCCATTCTGCACTATTCCTTTTGTGTTGATATGTCACATATGTGAGTTAGTTGAGTGTTTACACCTCAGTGCGCCAATATCTTTTCTATAAAATAGCATTATTCAGCTAAACCCCTTCATTCAACAACTGCTTCTCCTCTGATCAGTTCCCCGTTATTATCTCTATGGAACGAAACAAGACTTGTCAGGAGTACTACTACTTGCTTTCGTGGAGTGTGGCTGGTGAACTGTTCGTGCTGTGATCTGCAAGCGTCGTGTGGTCTCGTCGGGTCAAATGAGAAACCCAATACTACTACAACAGCGCCAATTAGTTGAACGGACACCGACCAGGAGCCCATCGAACCAGGTAGCGCAGACTAACCCTATCCCGAGTAAGTGTGAACCCAACCAGCGTGATTCACACAACCCATCAGCTGGGAAAAAATTAAAATGATAGTGCAATAACTACACATCTTATCATGTCCCC